AGTTGAGATATAAGCCAAAATGTCCCTGGAAGGTGTGGGTAGAGCAAAATGCCCCTCTGACAAAAAAACAAAAATTGTGAAATACCCCTGGCGTCAGTTGGACCCCCCATGTTTGCAGTATACCCATACCCGGTACCCATTTAACTTCGCAAATTGTCCCGGTACTTGCAAACTTTTCCAAAGCCCAATTGCAAAAGGCCAAGGCCCAAACAGCAAGGTCCAGATTGCAAATTTGCACACACCCCTCACAGAGGCATAACACAAAGATTTCAGCCCAAAAGGGCATTCCGCTCTACCCACCTCTTTCAGGGGCATTTTAGCATATATCTCAACGTATGGGGGTATTTTGCAAATCATCCCAAAAAACAATAGTAAGGAGACTAGGTAAGTTCCAGAAGCAAACGTTCAAAATTTTATGCTCGACACTTCCACTGGTAGGCCTAAAACAATTCCACTTCCCGGCAGCAAACGTTCACTGTACGGCTTGTGTCCATATCGCTTCTTTGTTCTCTTTTTTCTCCCCCTGTCCTTCTTGCTGGATTTCGCATGATGTTGTGTTGATGTCATACGGTAGACGTGTTGGATGTCCTAACGGATTGCTGATAAAGCACTTTCTCCCATGAAGTAACCGACGTAGGAATTGCACTACAGTTGAGTGGCTTCGAGTCAACGTCAGACGACAGACATTCACAAGCTACTACGATGGTGTCTAGCAATCAGAATGTCCGGTTCAGCGTCACTTTACGGCTTGTCTTGTGTCCATATCGCTTTTTTCTCTTTTTTCTCCCCGTCCTTCTTGCTGGATTTCGCATGATGCTATGTTGATGTCATACGGCAGACATGTTGGATGTCCTAACGGTTTGCTGATAAAGCACATAACGGTAGTCTGATTTTCAAAGCACCAGCGGGACAGGTGGTTCAAACCACCACTATTCCCCAGCCTCTTTTTTCCAGTGCACGATTTTGCCCGCACCTAAAATTCCAGAACGTCACTACAAGGTAAAGCCAGCCTTTTTGATCCAGTAGGACCAAGCCTGGTGCCCAATTGACATGAGTAAGCAAGCAAACGAGGTGAAAAAGGGAGGACGGATAACAAAGAGAGAGAGTGAGGGAAAGGGGGGGAAGGGGGCGAGGGGGAGGAAGCGAAGAGAGAGGCAAACAGTGTAGCTAGAGAGAGAGCACCGTTGCAGCCAGAGTGCAGGTAGAGGGGGCGCAGAGACAGAATGAGAGTGCAGCTATAGAATGCAGAGTACAGGAGAGAGAGAGCCTACCTCCCTCTCCATCACACGAGATAGAGCGAGGGAGGGATGGAGGTGCCAGCTGCACAGACGATGCATGCCAAAGAATGCAGAGAGGTTGAAGAAGAAAGAGATGGGGAGAGAGAGAGAGAGAGAGTACAGCAATATAGTGCCACTAGCAAGAAGGCACCAAGAGAGAGACGGAGAGGGAGAGAGAGAGGGAGAGAGAGGGGGGGATGCAAGAGAGAGAAAGGGCCAAGGAAAACGAGGAGAGATAGACTCCCTCCTCTGTAGTCCCTCTCCAGTTGTGTTTTTTCCCACCCTTCCCACTATGTCATCCCCCCACATCTCCCCTTCCATAGTCACACACAGTCATGAGCCGGGAGCACGTGTAACAAATGTCGAACATAGCAGAAGAGAACATACATTCGTGATGATAGATTCTTTATAACACAGACAGTGCAGATCAGTTTCAAAGATATGCATGGTGTGCAGCTGGCCTTGATGTCAGCCTCTGAATCGGTCCACCACGCACGTTCACCATAGCCAGCAGATCAACAAAATACATCAGCCTCTTAATATTTGAGCGAACATCTCCCCGGCGGCTGAATGATATGCAGTACTGCAGAGCTTCGTTAAACAGGCACATGCATCTTTTCAATGCTCAATGGACAGTGTACAAGTGAGCTGGACGGCAATGTCTAAAAGGTCCAGTGTATAGGTTCGCTGTAGCCAATGGTTAATAGGAAAACCCAGTTTCCGGATACTCGTACCCGCATGCCTGTTGGTTGAATAGTATGCCAAATTGCATGACTACGCACAGCTGAGTTCAAAACCTGCTGAAGGTTGAACAAGGTGACCCCTTTAGAAAGGAAACAGCACTTTCACAAGTATTCTGAAGTTTAAACTCAACATGTACTATGCAGTATTTCACAAGGATGTCTCCTAAACTAGCCATCCTGGCCCTACTAGAAACCATGTATCACTCAGCAAGCCAGATAACAACTTAACTTAGTTTACTGTATGCCATGCATGGGTTCAGACCATGCATGGTTACGCCAGATGCGAACCTGGAAGCATCCAGACGTACGACCGGTCTTTCATGTGCATCCATCCAGACGTCCATACTTCCGGAGATGGCCGAGCAGCTGCATCCACACCGTCCGTTCAGGTGTCCCAGTGCCCGATGTTCGAAAACCCCAAACAACGAAAGTTTAACAGAGAGAGAGAGAGAGANGAGAGAGAGAGAGAGAGAGAGAGAGAGAGAGAGAGAGAGAGAGAGAGAGAGAGAGAGAGAGAGAGAGAGAGAGAGATTAATGTAGTATGGATTTAATGTAGTATGGATTGTTAAGACCTCCTTCACATCCAGCGTGGGAGGAATATTCTAAACAGTTCTTCAAAGATATACTTCACGTTTATAAAGATATTTCAGTCTGTTTCACTAATCTGTTTCATTAACCTTGTGCAGTTTGAAATTCCGCTTCTATAGGGCTCTTAACTGCCCAACTCATCTGACTCGTGATCTGAGTATGTATAGCTCAAGTTCCTGCTGACAAAGCTTTAGCACGTCATCCATGTACTTTGTATTCTTTTATTCTTTTACGGTGAAACCGTGGAAGAATCAAGATCTGATCGATCAATGGAGTCGACGACAAAATCTTTAATTGAGAATCAAGATCTGAACGGTAAACAGAGAGTAGTCTTTGCTTCCCTTTCGACGGCAAAATCTTTAGAGAATGAAGCTTTAAATCGTAAACAGAGTAGTCTTTGTATTCCCTACCACCCTATGGAGCCCAATCGAAACGATACATCCCTTGTCTGAAGATAATAAATACCCTTAAACCACAAGTACTCGGAGACTTCGTTTCACCGAAGAAGATTCCCCACTGCGGCCCAAAAACAAAAGCACTGGTGCGCACGACTGTTTTTTTGGCTGGCGCACCCACCCATTTTTCTGCGGTAGGTGGAGCTCAAAAGTCGTAGTGCGTGCACGCCCGCGTCGAAGAAAAATGGCTGGGAAAAGTACTGGTGGTTTAACAAGTTCCTCACTCGAGAACGTAAAAGATACCACCCTTCTCAGAGCGCCTGGTCCCGTATGGAAGACTCCATGGGTCCAAAGAAAACCCAGAAACAATTTTCTGGGGTCATCCACGACCCAAAGAAGGGTCCTCGCCGACCCTTTTTTTTTTTTTTAAGCCTCTATCCAAACGGGCTGATCGGTCGTCCAGCTGGACGTCCGGACCCAAATGGGCTGGATGGTGACCCGGCCGCTCAGATCGTAGCCAAGGTTCAAAATTTTGGATCAGTATCTCAAGGACCCTCAGCCAACCCAGCACTTACTCACTTAGCAAACAAAAAGAAAGAAAAGATCAGATAATATAAGATATTGTACTACAATGACAAAGAAAGTGATCATCAGATAATATAAGCCATCCAAGAATGAATTTGACATCAGTTTCTGGTTAATGCACTCCACACATTACTGCCTATCAAATAGTAGAATCCTGCAAATAGAGTGAATCTGACACCCATAATCTTCTCGACTTGTCACACCTCGTTGGTTCGATTACTTTAGTCGTTCAATTTTGTTTGGGTCCTAAGATATATCGATAAATAGCATGGGACGTCCATCCCAGCCGGGAGGGCTGTGGCTAAGGGCCAAAATCTTTTTCAGGTGGCCCAGGGCGTATTTTCACGCCCTGGCCTCCCCCACAAAAATATCACCTCCTTTTATTTTCAGTGGCCCTGTCGGCTAATTCATCACCCTATTGTTCTTCTCAGCCTCTGTTTCCTTAATCTTCTGGAGTCCCTCCAAGAGCTGTCCTACTCCCCCTGGTCATCTACTTCAATTGTCAGCATCACTATTCTCCTTGCATCGCTTGACATCTGCCACACCAGCCTCATTGTCCCTTCCTCTACCTACTTGTCCTCCTTTTCTCTCTTCTTCTTTCTCATTTCTTCTTCATGGCTCTTCCTGCTCTGCATCTTCCCCCCGTCCAAACACAAACACCAATCACACACTCAACTCGTGTGCAAGACGAAACGCAACACCCTTGCAGCGCCAAATCAAACACGCTTGCAACACCGATGATGGGACTGCCACACGTGCTTTCCAAACGGCCAGTTGCTTGGTAGAAGCAGAGCGGTCGTTTTTCCTTCTTAGTTTTGTTTCATCTAGTTTCCTTCATCTCGTGTTCCTCTGGAATACATTTTGCATACATGGAGAACCTGCAATGCTGCATTTTTTTAATGCCTTTTTCTAAAGTTTTTTTTCTTTCGTTTTTTCATTTCATTTCCCTGCCACCTTCGTATTTTTCACGTGTTCTCTCTTCCTTTTCCCACACAACAGTTCCCCCGTGCCTCCCTTGCTGAGGGCATCAACTACTGTCCGTCTGAAGTATCACTGTCTACCCGCGCAGATGACGTATAATGTCACATGGATGGTTTCTAGTGTTACACCAACATGTTGCATCACCCTGGCTAGCAACATTTAAAAATGTTTTCTTCCTTTTTATTTTCCTCCTTTTTTTACCCCGTCATCTCAAAGCCAGATTCTGAACCCCTCATCACACAGTATCACACTAAAGCCAATAACCTTTAGCATGCCTGAGGTGTGCACAGTGAATTGCTTCTGCTCATACAAATATGTTCAATCTTGCAGGATTCACCGATTGCCAACACAGTATTCTTCAGCTTTGCCACAAGATAAACAGTTCATCGACTACTTCCAGTCCATTGCTGAGAAGTAGAGGATTATCTCACCTTGTCATTGTGATAATCAAAAGTATTGACGCACTCATTGCTGCGGATTGTCCAAAGTTTCACCAGGCCATCAGCACCTGCATCAAGTTTTCACATTAGCACAACTTATACAAATTTTATGCATGGATGTGTTAACAATCTCGAAGAGAACAGGTCTTAAAAAATCTTGTGAAAACTTGAAAACCACAAGACCCCTGCAAGGTTAGCATAACTCACAGGCATGCCATCAACACCTACCTAGTAACAGGACAGCAATCCCAAGAAAGCCAGCAGCATCTGAAAGTGTACTTGCAGGAGGCCTCCCAGAAGCCTCCTCTTAACCAAATGTGATCAGACCCATGTCCCAACATTGGCAACTACACTAGATGCAATAAAACACTAGAAACCGTATAATCTACAACTGTCGGTTGTATCTATTCTCAAACTTTCCTCTTTTATAACTACAATCTGGACATGGATATCCAGACAGCCATGTGTACAGTCTATGGGTCTGGTGGATACAGTCAGAAATACATTTTGTTGAAATTTGGCGCAAATTTGAAATTTCTGATTTCTAGAACTTATGTCGTGCAGCCCAGGGGAGGTAGGTGTTCTTTGTCCAGATCATCGCAAAATTTCCTAATCCACTGCTCAGGGGAGGTAGGTGTTCTTTGTCCAGATCACATACAGACATCCAGATGGTATCCGTACTCAGGTTCAAGTCTGGTCCGGATTTGTGCATGTGCACGTTCACATCTAGCATAACCATGCTTATTTTCGTGTGTGGTGTGATAGGGTGCTCCCAGATCCTCAACACAAGACAGTGTAAAGCTACAGGCACACACGTCCTTGGCCAACGAAGCAGAAGCAAAGACAGTTGACCTCACTCTTCCATTTCCTTCGCAAAACAATTCTTACACTGCTTCCCACTGCTCCTATGACTTCCTTCTCCCAACTTTTCCCTTCACCATGAACTCTCTCTCTCTCTCTCTCTCTCTCTCTCTCTCTCTCTCTCTCTCTCTCTCTCTCTCTCTC